ATTTTAATGTTATTGCTTTAAGAATTGCCAAATAATTAAAAAGTAGTTTTCTTTTTTATTTAAATTATTTACACAATTCTATGAATGTAAAAAACAAATTGTGTTTTGTTTGTCTGCAGTATATAGAAATAAACGTGTAGGATTGCTAAAAAAATTACAATTTATGGTTTTTTAAGTTTTAGTTCTGATTATAATCTATTTTAAAATTTGAGGACCTTTTGATGTTATTAAAGTTATAAAGAACGATTAAACACACAATTTCATGCAACAAGAGGCTTGAAATTAAGGTTTTCTCCTATCAAGTGTGGAGTAAAATATATTTTTTTATATTTAATCGAGATGTAAGTGAATGAAAAACAAATAATTAAAAATCAAAAACCCGACTGCAAAAAAGACAATTTAAAAGTAGTGCACTAAAAAGACCGAAACAAGATTGAGTAAAGAAAACATAATTAAAAAAAAACTATAAACAAAGTAAACTCTACTTCGGTTTAATAGATAATATAGAGCTGAAAGCCTAAGTAAAATAGCTTAAGTTATATATTAAGTTTAGTAGCAAGCGGAACTCATTAACTTCTTTCGGTTTATAATTTTTTTAGGCTATTTTACTAAGGCTTTCAGCTCATAATATATTCTGTTAAACCGAAGTAGAGTTTACTTTGTTTGTAGTTTTTTTTTAATTTTGTTTTCTTTACGCAATCTTGTTTCGGTCTTTTTAGTGCATTACTTTTAAATTGTCTTTTTTGCAGTCGGGTTTTTGATTTTTTAATTATTTAAAGACTTTTTAGTATAATAGTACCCAGCCTATTGTGTAAAGTTTTTTGACGATTTTTCAATAACTATGTGACTTAGAAGGGTCGATGTATATTTCCTGAAATAAACGGTGTTTATTTATTACATTTTTCTTCAAAACTTCACGGTTCAAAATTAATTGAAAACAATTTATTTGTTTCGTTTTAAATGTGATTTGGCAACGGATATAAATAACTATTCTTTTTTCATATAATAGCACGAGATCCGATACAAATATTGCAGATTTTATATACCAGTTATCAAAAACTTTATAAACAAATTTGTTATTCCTAATTAAATTTAAGCACACAACTTATATTCGATATTCGATAGGTTTGGTTATTTTTTTGAATTAGCGTATTACTATTTTGCGCCAAAAATCCGGCATTTTGTTTATAAAAAAGCTATCTAAGAACACTTGGATTTTTAAGACGAATAAAACTGTACTTTAACTGTTGAAATCCACCCAGCTGTTTGAAAGATACGAGGTAATAAAGAAATTTACAAACATACAAGATGGCGCGAAAAACATAACCCATCCTTGGCAGTCGGGTAAAAAAAGTATTGAAATGTCCGGGGTGAAAGTTCCAAAATCCGGGGAACTTACGCTTCCGGTCCTGGGGGGCAGGTTTTAGAGATGGCAGCCCTAAATAAAAGTGAGGTGATTTTTTGAAACATATAAATAATACATATATTTAAATAACAGACACAGTACGGTGACGTGAAATTACTCTTAATGGGTAATTAGAAACAACGAGGCATGACGAAAAAAAAGGTCAGTAGCAGATTATATTCGTTCCCAGCTCGTCAATAGAAGCAAATCAAATCAGAAGCGGCATAATGATTAAATAACCTAATTACCTTCTTAACGCTTCATTTGACGTCGTTACAAAAACGCTATCGATTCGAACAAACTTCAGTTATATATTTCATAAGCTGTTGTGTCTTTTTTTAATAAGTACGTGAATATAAGTCAGAAACACTAAGTAATTCAGGAGTTGACAAGATAATGGAATTAATTATCTTAAAGTCGGTCAACACTTGGAGGTCAGCCATCGCCGAGTCTGTTTCTCCTGACGATGTCTCGTTTATGGACAAAACACGTATCGTATTTTAAAGTGGTGTGTCTTTTCTAGTGTATCGATGTTGGAATTAATGGCGACGGGGATAGTGCACGCAGTTGAGAGAGAGTGAGAGGTGATTTTCAAACTAGGTGGGACACATCATTTCGTTTTGTTCCTTCGCTAATTCATTTTTAACATCATATAAGATAAATCGTAATTATTAGATATTCCAAATAATATTACAAAATCAAATTGACATTATTAAAAATTCGAAACGTTTTTTGAACGTTTAATCATATGACCTTTTGAGTGAACTAAGTAATATGTCGCCTAAATAGTAGTTACATAAAAAAAAATCAGCCTCTATGTTCTACCATCAGGGAAGGACTTTTTCTTTAAACGGAACCACCATTGAGGTAGAGCCTATTGTACAGAATCAGAAAAGTTTAAATTGGTTTTTAGTTGAAGTCGAAGTTACCGCATAATAAATTACATGGGTATGCCATAGTATGCTATGTGGGTCACTCAAAATAATTTACGAAACAAAAAAAAAATACTCTTAATAAAAAGGTAAAAGTCGTCTTCAAAAAACTTAATAGAACAAAATAATTAAAAAAAATCTGAAGTCTGCTTGCACGAATGGAATAAGACTGTTGAAATTGTCTACCAGTAACGAATTATTAAATGTATCGTTGATAAAGTAAGTAATGAAAATGTAAATTTTAAGACCATAATTTTCCCACTGCTGGGTAGAAGCCTCCTCACATTTCTGATCAATAGCTAGTTACTCCAGCAACTAGTCCATATTGCCGCTTTAGTGTCGTACTGTTGATTCCTCCTTTTTCATTCCATCATCGTAAAACCAGACGCTCGAGAAGTCTTCTCTCCTATTATCATCGACAAACAACGCATTCAAACCAAACAGTTTGCTTTATCTTTCATAATGCGCACAGCTAAGGAGTGGAATAATTTGCCAGCATCTGCCTTTTCATCCGATTATAATGGTGTCTTCAAGGCAAGAGTGAATAGGCTTGTGTTAAGCTGAATCAGTGCGTTTAAACATCTATGGCTGCATCACCACTTACCATCAGGTGGCGTGGTAGTCAAAAAATGGCTTATAATATAATATATAATAAATTAAAAGCCCTGTGCAAACGCCAAACATAAAAGAGGAGCGCCACCAGCTAACTGCGGCAGCAATTTATTTTTTGTGTGTATTTGTGCGATCGGATACTCGTGCAGTCGTTTTTGAAGAATTTGTGGCCGATAGGTAAATTGGAATTGTGCTTTTGATCGATTGCCCGCTTCCGTACTAATGGATGCAGAAAGGAAATAAAAAAATCGCGACACACGAGCAACGCGTCATTTCATTCAGTGAACAAAAAATTGGCAATTGATTTATGGCCGCACGTTATTTTGTTTCATATTACAATAAACAAAAAAAAAAATCAAAATGTTTGGCAGTTTGTTTAAATTCATATAAAATGTGATATGATACTTATACTATTTATTATTTTTATATAACATGAATATGATGCCGGTATTTTTTAATAGTTTATCGCAGTAAAATACACATTTCTTTATTCTTCTTTAATATTATAGAGATAATATACATACGAAATTAAGAACATCATCTAACAATGATATATTAAATACTACCTATCGTCGTTCCAGGAATTTCTGTTACTACCTATTAAGAAAATTAAATATATGACAAATCAGACATTCGCAAAGCCGGATGGAATGTCAAAAAGTTGTGGGATGTAATTTATATCAAAATAAACGAACCTTAACCGAAAAACATAGCTTTACTATGTGTTCTCTACTGACGCACAGTGTACTGTCGACTCCATAAATAATTATTTTGTTAATGAGGGCGCTGGTCTTGCCTAAAAATACTTTCCCATATTGTGACTTACGCTTCTTTTATATAAAGTCTGTTGTACTTCCTATCTATAAGAATGGGGATAAAGTTCGTATCACGGACTCCAATATTTATATTACCTGCAATGTTTAAAATAATAGAACGGATAATAAATACTAGACTCAAAGACAACTTTGAAAGTAACAATCTTAATGATTTCTTATATTTACGCGAACACTACACATTGAAATAATACTAGTTTTACGGAATTTATCGCGTATATTTAACTTTTTAAATACCCGACGTTTCGAACGCTTTAGGCCCGGTTCCCACTACGCCGGACCGGCAGATCTGCCGGAAACCGGACACCGGACAGAGTGTTCATATTACATCGGATCCCGGAAGAAATTCAGACAGTCAAGTACACCTCAGTTGAATTTGGACCTGCGCGCACAATGGACGACGAAATTGTTGTGTTGTGGTGGTATCTTAATAGAAGGCAAAATAAAAGAAAACATTGCGTACACCCTATTTTACGGAAAAGATTTTCACTTGGAACATTTGAAACATTAATGGGTGAACTTAGAAGAGACGAATCAAAGTTCTTCAATTATTTTCGAATGACAGCAACCACTTTTGACGATTTACTGGGACGACTAGACATAAGAGTACGAGATACAAGTTTCAGAGAATGTATTTGCCCAGAACAAAGATTAGCCATAATTCTAAGGTAAGATTATTTTATGCACTAGATTGCGTAATAATAGTTTTGACGTAGGTACCTACTTAAGACTGAATGAATGAATGAATGTTTGCTATGTATGTTTGTTTAATGAATGTGAATATATATAATGTGTGTGTGTGTGTGTGTGTGTGTGTGTGTGTGTGTGTGTGTGTGTGTGTGTGTGTGTGTGTGTGTGTGTGTGTGTGTGTGTGGGAGGGTGTATGTATTTGATAGTCATTATGAATTAAAAATGCAAATAACTTATTTAAGTATTTATTTGTACTCAAACTTAAATCCCTTCAAAATCTAAGTAATCTGAGTCTTGGGAATGTATGTAATGATTACTAGATGCTGATGGCGAAGCTGGAATCGGATTCGATGTCTGAGATGAAGTTGATAGTATAGATGTTTTTGCCTGTTGATTACTACTATTATATTGCGTAGAGTATCCAGGGTGGTGTTGATCTTGCGTAGGTGTTGCCTGTTGATTGATGCTATTATGTGTGTAGTATCCAGAATACTGATCTGGTCCGGTCATCTGATTATATGAATCACGTCAATGTCCGTAATTTGGTCTCTCATAATTCCTACTTTTAATTTTTTGCAACATTATCATGACGCTAGCTTGAAATTCTAAAGTCTCTTCGATAGTTAAAGTGTTCAAGATTGGTATAATGCCTTTGAAGAAAGACAGATGATAATTTTCCTTTTCTGGGTTTATTCTGGAGTCCAAAAACTTTAGTATCCTGTCATTTACCTCTTTATAATCAATTTTTCTTTTATCTTTAATTAAAGGTGAACGAAAATCTGATTCCATGCCAACATCAGTCTCGGTTCTTGCTTTTTTTGAAACTGACTCATGTGGTGGTCGAGGTTCGGAGACTTTTTTCAAAAACATTAATTGCTCGTGATATAAATAATTTCGTGTCTTTTTGGCCGAAGATCTAGATTTAGACTCATCTTTTTGTTTCTTTACTGTCTTAAGCCACGAATCTCGTATATTATTCCATTTAGTTGAAACCTGTTTTCCTGAAATCAATAAAAAATATCATAAAACAATACAATTTGTTTCTTGGTGACGTATAAAGTAATAATGTATTAACAAAAAATACTTTTTTTCAGATATTTAGCTTCAGGATGTTCATTCAAAGAAATACATTACTCATACAGAGTAGGCGTTTCGACAATAAGTAAACTAATAAAAGAAATGACCCACGTCATTTGGGAAAACCTAAAGACGGATTTCCTTAAGCTACCTGATACTGAGAGAGAATGGGAGGACATCGCTTCAGGATTCGAAAGAAAAGCCAACTTTCCTCACTGTCTTGGAGCAGTAGATGGCAAACATATCAGAATTTTGAAACCAGCCAAGAGTGGTTCTATATTCTTTAATTACAAGGAGTAGTATTCTTTTGTATTAAAGGCAGTTGTCGATTCAGAGTACCGATTTATTTTTATTAGTGTGGGCTCATATGGCGTGGAATGCGATTCTACTATATTAAAGGATAGTACATTTTGGCAAAAGATCAATGATGGTACTTTAAATGTACCAAAGCCTAGACCGCTTCATGAAAACTTGCACGAAGAATTACCGTTTATACTTGTTGGCGATGAAGGCTTTGCTTTAACACCTGATCTCCTACGTCCATATGGAGGTACACATTTGAATACTGATAAAAAGATTTTTAACTATAGACTAAGTCGAGCAAGAAGGTATGTTGAGTGCGCTTTTGGTATTCTGGCAAATAAGTGGCGAATAATCCATCGAGCTATAGATATGAACGTAGACACAGCAATTCAAGTAATTAAAGCTTGTACAGTCCTACATAATTTTGTAAGAGAAAAAGATGGTATAAATTTTGAAAGTTACCAAAATATAGAACATAGACAAGAACAAGAAACGACACCCATGAATCGGAATGTGTCGAGTCGAAGTGGCCCTAATGCCAACGCTATACGGACATCATTTACTAATTATTTTGTTTCGGATATTGGTTTCATTCCGTGGCAGGCAGCACCTATAAAATAAAATTTATCAATGCATTTACATTTTATCAATAAAACATTAACTCACCGTACTGTTTTCTTTCTTTTTCATCCAGTTTATCGAAGTTTGGTTTCAGTATTAAACATACTTCACGCCATGCTGCTAACTTTAAGTTTTTGTCTTTATAGACGTCTTCGGTCATATCCCACAGAACAGGTCTCTCTTGGACAAGCGTAATTAAAGTTCCTGCTTGAATATCCATGCTAAACGTCTACTTTTACCAGAAAATGCGAGCCGAATGACGTGAGTGGAACACGGGTGGGGCGAGGGGAGCACGAGCGGGGCGAGCGGGGGGACAGATACCGGCACAAACTCGTTCACATTACTCCGGGCCCGGTCGTTCTACCTGCAATTCGTAGTGACAAAACGCTCGGTAAAAATGCCGGGCTCGGCAAAAATGCCGGACCCGGGATAATGTGAATAGCTTCATATAAATTGTACAGTCACTAGCCCTTCCGGCAGATTTACCGGCGCGGCAGATCTGCCGGTCCGGCGTAATGGGAACCGGGCCTTACAGTACTCATGGTCACGGGCAGGACTGAGATGTTCAACGTCCATATGTCATAGTTAACCGCGGTTACCATAGATTAAAATTTAACTTTTGTTCCGATCTATGCAGTATGAACTTATGGTATCTTGAAGTCTTGCAGTTGTATACTTGGGTTGGGATTTAATTTTATTTATTATAGGATCCCAAACAGATGGTAGCACCCAGCCATCTTCTCTATTGAAATTAGGATGTTTTTTGATTTCAATAGCCTCGCGAATCATCCTTGGAAGGAATCGGTGTTCTTTAGCGAGGATCTGCGGTCTATCAAATCTGATGTAGTGACGAGGGCGATCCTGTACGTGTTCACAGACTGCAGACTTCCCGGAGCGTCGATTCTTCACATCAGCTATATAAAACTTGCTTGACATGGTGGATTTTGCATGACAACAAGCTTCGAGTTCCGCGCCTATGTCACAGTGAAAGAGTGAAGCCAGCCACAGTCGAGCGTGTACCTGCTGTACTGCCATATGTTAGAGGAGTCACTGACAAGATTGGCTACATCTTGAAGCGCGCTTCCATCAAAACATACTTCAAGCCGCTGAAGAAGATTGGTCAGTTTTTACCATCGGTCAAGTGTAATGTCCCTCTGCAAGATGCAGGAGTGTACAAGCTTGATTGTGAATGTGGTCTCTCCTACATTGGACAAACTAAAAGATCAATAAAAACCCGCGTTAAAGAACATATAGCTGATGTGAAGAATCGACGCTCCGGGAAGTCTGCAGTCTGTGAACACGTACAGGATCGCCCCCGTCACTATTGGTATTTAAAAAGTTAAATTTACGCGATAAATTCCGTAAAAACTAGTATTATTTCAAAGTAACAATCTTTTATCTCAACAACAATATGGATTCCGTAAAAATAATACAATAATTTTTACTTCTTGGCGTAACCCAATCTTCCTGTGGTTCTTATAATTGGAAAGGCATATGTACTTATATTTATAAAGGAAAAGAAAACACGGGCACACAGTTCAACGGGCAAGTTAAGTGGATGCTGTGTCCCCTAGACATATGTGTCTTCGATTAAGAGTCAAACTGCAGATGCGTTGTCACTTCTGAAGGCTAAGATGGAGTGGAATGTTACCAGTAAAAATTGTCTCTAGTTCTCAACACCTTACTATACGAAATCCAGCAATATTAAGCTGCTGTTTCACGATGACTTTCTGTGAAAGCGTGGCCCTTCTCCGATCTAGCCGACTCAATAGTGCTGCAGCCATAAAATAACTAGAGCGTTCTCTACCGCGTAGAAATGTCCCGCAAACATCGATCAATTAGTGATCGATGCCCTCAAATGACTATTACTGACTAACAAAGAAGTAGTACAAACTAGAAATGTAATCTGTGTCACTTCTGTAAGTAACATGTCATTTGTTACGAGATCGCTATAAATAATAACAACAAGAAATAATTATCAAATATAAACAAACTGATTGAGGTTAGTGATGCAAAAACAAACACACAAAACGGAGCTCTGTAGCCTTTATCTGCTTTCAGCTGCCATAAATCATAAAAGAATTAGAGAGGCTACAAATTTGGAGTTATTAAAAAAACTCATTTGCAAATTTGGAAAGACAAGGAGATATTCAAGCGATAAACTTAATTATCTACATCGGCCGGTCCCCGGTGTGCCGTCGACTCACCCCTTTTGGATTTTTTCACTTTAAGTGTATATAAAAAAATTAATGTGCCACGTTTAATAACAGCCTTGTGTATCTCTGTGGGAGCGTCAGCACGACACTGAGAGCAAAATGTCATAACACTAAATTATGAAAGAAATATACACCTATGCCGTTTATAAAAAAACTAGATGCCCGGCATGTCTTGTAATTTCTTTTTCAGCCAACTTCAAGTACAATAGCTGGCTGGAAATATTTTATATTTTTCTTTATAAAATTGAAGTGGCAACCTAACTTACAGTAAGAAAGAGAGTAAAATTACATACCCCTAGTTGGTAAACTATTTAGTAATCTGTGCTCCTAGTGAAAATTAGAAGTGAATTCTGTACTGTTTATATTTAACTAATATTAATAATAATAATGTTTATTTCTCCTCAGAAAAACAGACCATACATAATAAAACTTATATCTATTAAAATACAGGTATGTTCGTACTCACAGTCTAGAATATGTGAGGAGATGGTGTCTGAGTTATGCAATTAAATACTTGTATTAAAAACCACTAGGTCCCCACCCATACAAAATAAAGATATTGTTAATTATAAGATATATTAAGAATTAAATGATGAATCAATAATATAATTAATTAATAATAAGGTATTTGAAAATAATGTCATTATAATTTAATATAGGTACGTTACCAGTTTTTTAAGTCCCTAAAAATTAAACCATATTTTTAAAGAGACCAAAACAATCCTGACAATTAAATAGCAAAAAATATTTATTTTAAAGGTAACACTTTTTACATATTTTATTTAATTATATTTGCATATTTTATTATTATTATTAAGTAAGAACGGACATTTATAAATAATTAAAGCTGAAAGTAAAATAATATACATTGAAACAATAGAATTATAATGAACGAAAATAATTTTCCTGGATTACAGTAGAATTGGACGAAAAACTTTTCGATACAAATTACAATACCGCTTACAAAAACCGGACAACTGCAAGTACGGCAAACTTTGCAAATTAAGAAAATGTAATTAGTGCTTCCCTCCGTCCTCCCCACGGACATAATTAAAGCGAATCTTGTTGTAATTTTGACATTTAATTTTTTCTCGCCGTCACCTCTCCCTTATTAATTAATTTAGAGAAACAGCCCTTAAAATTTAATCTCTGCTCTTCCATTTTTTTTAACTTTCGGTAACTTAATGAAACGACGTAGATTTTTGATAGCGTGCCTGTGACGCGGCGGGACACTTTTTAATATTTTCCATTTCAGCCCGTGATTAATACATTCAGTCAGCGCCTTTAATTATATATTACTTATTATTTTTTTGATGTTTGTTGCATATTTTTTTAAATGATTGGAAATTTAGAAAAGTGCAAAAATTAAAAAAAAAAAGGTTTAAATTATGTAGTAAAACTGTGACATACTTTGTAGACTAAAATGAAGGAAAGTTGACTAGTATATAATTTAGGTTAAATTTATCAGTAAATAACACAATTCTAATTCAAAGTTGTTATAGTATGCCGTTAACCGGTGCCAAGACTCTTAAAATTGTTAACTGCATTTTTAAGTGCCCATATAAGTGCACATGCTTGCAGAATCAGTGAAAAAAAATAACCTTGTGAAGTTTGCAAGACTAAGGTAGCAGAAACTTTTAAAACAGACAATTTTTTTTTGCATCTACCTACTTGTATTTATCTATTTCTCGCAGACTTGACTGGTAGAGAATGCTATATGACATTAACGCAATTGTAACCTTCGATTTAGGTGTATTACAATGAAGGTTAAATAAATAAATAGATTACTTTTGAGAAATAAATTTTGGGTACATAACAAAACCGTTAAGTTACATCTGATTTTCGTCCCAATGCTGGACCTGGGCCTCCTCATTTCTGAGAGGGTTATGGAGTGATTACTGCGCTGCGCTGCTCCTGTGCATGGTGGCGTACTTCTCACGTTCTCCAAATATTTAACTCCTTAGGAAACCTGTCTATACGTGATCCTGCCGGCACCAATGAAATTGTTAATTGCAATTTTTAGTGCTGATTTACCACGTGCTCAGCGGTTAAAGAAAACATCGTGAGGAAACCTGAATATTTGAAAAATAAAATATTTCAAAGACATGTCTAGTTCGCAAACACGCATTGGGACAGCGCGATGGACATTTCGTTGCCCTAAAACTCTTTCAAAAATGAGAGGAAGCTACTGCTGGGAACAGTCCCAGCAATGGGACGTATATAGGCTGCAACTTTAACTTTTTTATGTTATACAATTAAATATGAAAACATTTAGAAACGGCATGGTAGCGATAACCTCATTTTCAGAGGGTATTACAAAATATTTAGTTGAAAATGTTTAAACTTTTTGATAGATAGGTCCTGCATATTTTATGGAAATCTGTTGAATACAAACGTATACGTTTCCCCATGAAGAAATTATTAATTCTTCGGATTCGCGTAACAAGTTTAACTAGCTTGTGCTTATTCCTAGTATTAACAATGCGTGGAGCTAATAATTCTTGAATTTATTACGTAAGTCTTGTACATATTTTAAAAAAGTTACTTTCATAAAAACACGCACATACACTTTTTCCTCATCCTCCTCACCAGTGCTGCCATATGATGAAACAGGAAACATATCAGGGGCCCCTATGTGCTTATCTGGTTGATGAAAACTTTAAAATGCAACGGGGGCTCCACGCGTAATCCCGCGCTATCGGCATGTAAGCCACTCATCAAGTTGGAATTAGTCGAGGCGATGACTTTTTTCATGGGAATAATACGTATCCACGATTAAGGGTGTGGTTTAAAGTGTTGGCGTTGTTGTTTTAAAATGTACCCATGTATTATGAAATTGTATTTTAATAGTATTTCAATAATTAAATCCGAGTAAGTAATAGTAATATTGCGGCAACAGTGGGAAACAAACCAAGACATGGGCAACAGGGTCTTCCTGATAACTAAAAATAAAGCACTGCGGTTGCCAACACGCCCTCATTTGACTACGGAAATACTTCTTTCA